CTTTTTTTTTTTTTTCAAAATTCATTTTTTTTAAAAATTTATTTTCAACCACACACTTTTCTATAAAATAATTTTATATGTAAACTCAAATTTTTTCCCTATTTTTTAAACCTACTTTATCCAAAAAATCACTAATCCAAAACATATTTTCCAAAAAAATAAATAGAAATCAAACGGGGTGAAAGTAAGTTTAGGTGTAAAAGTAATAAATTATGTGAAAATTACATCCACGCATGAATTTCAACTTCAAACACATTGTCGTGCACAATTCGACGGAATCGGTGGCCGACCAATCAAACATCGTCGTGCGTGCAACGACGTTCATCATTGTTGCTCGCGACACAATTGTCGGCATGGAAATGGGCATTGGTGGTGAAGTGGTGGTGGCGACAAGCAGTTCTAGTCGATCATCTTCCATTAGGTAACGACGGTTAGTGTGATAATACGGTCGCTGTCCTCCTGACTCTTCAATACCAACGTCGCTTATGCGTGCAACAACGATGACTGCAATCCAACAATCGATTGCCCGATATGGCCATGACCTTTGCTCTCCTTTCTCAATTTGTTGTCCTCATCCTCTGCTTTATTTGTTGCAAATGGAGGTTGTTGTTGGTAGTTTTAGAGTTGTGGTGGTGCCAATGGTGTAGGTGTGGTTGTGGTGCCAGTGTTGCAGGGTGAGTGGTGGTCACAAATGGTGGTAGTAAGATGGCGCAACATTTGGTTGGTGCCGTTCGTGGAGTGGAGCTGGGGTGGGTGGGATGAAGAATTTTATGATCAATTATTTGAGTGATTATGACCAATAAAATAATTAATTTGTAACCAATAAATAATAAGTGTTTGATAAAACAGATAATTTGTGACTAATAAATAATAAGTGATCTAAAAAATGTTAGATTGCGACTAAATTTATAATTGTGATACACACTTTGTTAAATTATTTTGATAATTTGTGATTAAGAAATAAATTGTGATAATTAATTTGATAATTTGTAATCGAAAAATAACTTGTGATCAATTAATTTGATAAATTATGATCGTGAAATAAGTTGTGACCTATGATTTTTTATACAAAAATAATTCGTAACCTATTAATTTAATTATTTGTAATCGATAAATAAACCGACCTTAAAAAAATTGTGATTTGTGATCGAGAAATAATGTGTGATCAATTAATTTGATAATTTATAATCGATCTTAATATATTTTATTACTAAAATATGTTTAATTAATAAAAATTGAACTATGGCATGATTTTTGAAACTTTAAAATAAGTTTCTTAATTTTGAAATTGTAGTTTGTAACTACCTTAGATATGTATTATTCCCGTAAAAATTATTTTCAAGTAAAGCCAAATATATGCATAACTATAAAATATTCAATAGTACTCTTTATGAGTCTAAACGAGCTCGTCTAGTCATAAAAAATGTAAAACGTGAATAGACGATACTATGGTGTGCATTTGTTAGCACTCGACGAGACTTGAAAGCCACTTGATAACGAAATTAGGATTTTCATTAGCGTGTGCATATACAAGTAAGCTAGGGGTTTTATGGGTTGTTGAAAAAAAAAACTTAGGGTGCGTTTGATTACCAATATTTTCATTAAAAAATGTTTTTTTCCAAATCAAATTTTTACTTTTGTGCTGTTTAATTGCGACTTTTTCTATGAAAAATATTTTTCTACTTTTAGTCACATGCTCATATTTTCCTTAAAATCTAGAAAAATATTTTCTTTAATGAGAGTAAAATTTTATCCTACAGGGAATTCATTTCCTATCCTTCTCTCACCTACTCACGCACATCACCCTCTCTCTCTCATCCACATCCGACGGAAACGTTACCTTCCTCTCTCTCTCTCTCATAAATGCACCAAAAAAATAAATTCAGGAAGAAGGTCACGCCATTGCTCAGATCAACAAGTATATTTCCCCTTTCCTTTTCATTAGTATGTGTTTTTCATAATATTCAGTTGCATCTGTATAGAGCTTAAAATTGAAGAAATTGGTTGATTTGGAGTTGCATCTTTAATTTGAAATCATGCTTTTCGTTAGTGTTTGTATGTACAAGCTATCTAGGGTTTTTATACGTTCTTGGAAAGAAAACTCGGACTGGCCTTAGTTGATTCGGAATTTATTTTATTTATTTTTTCCTTTTGTTTCCTTTTTTATTATTTAAAGTTGTTCTTAATTAATTAATGAAACTTTTTTCCTAAATTAATTAGGACTTTGTTTCCCAATTAGCTCAATTTTTCTTTTTTTCCTTTTCCATATTTAAACACTTTTTAAACTTTATTAAATTGAGAGATTCCAATATCCTCATATGTTTATTTTTTGTGGTTAAATAAATGATTTTGTAAGCAACGAGCGTTTGTAAAACATTATAACTTATAATAAAACCTTAATTTTAATTTCACATTCACGACTACTACCCACTGCATTTTAGTCATCTCATTACAATCGAACCTAAACACACATAATGGGCAGAAGAGCACAAAATGTATGTCAGACGTACACATTGACAGGCTATTGTCTAGCAAGATGAATAGTGTTTAACAACAGCATAAACTGATGCAAGGAAATATGGTCCATTTGATTAAATCTATTATATGTTGTCACCTAGTTTTCTAGCAATGGTAGAGCTAAACATTAAGTCATACTAAAAACAGGGCATATCTTTAGGCAGTACAAAACTTGACTTGAGCATAACTCTTACTTTTTTTCGTCTTTAACAATGTCTAGGACCATTGAGTAATGCGTACTAAATATACAATAAAAGTACCAAAATCCGAGATCAAATATGCTGTACCCATTTTGATATTCCTCGAAATAATAATATTTATCATTATGATAATGGAATATCAGTTATGTGACAATCTATATAGAATAATGAGATTGGACAGTTCAATTTTTTAGAGAGCGTCATGAGGGAGGGAGATAAAGAATGTAAGGGATAATATGTTTGCCATATCACCGATATCCCATCGTCATGATGATAGATAGCATTACCAAATTTTTTACACCTTTATGGTCCATCTCTCATTAGTGGATGAGAGGATGATAACACAAAAATCTACAAGTGACATCACCTTTGAAATGACATGTCGGAAATTTAGAGGAAAGATCAAAAGGAACAGCAAAATGAAGACAACAGATGTCAACTCCCCAAATCCATTCAAGAAACCAATTTCAAGATGAATGAAATAAGCTCTCTCCACTAAAAACCACACAAATTTCAGTGTCCAACAGTCAAAATCAGATAACCTTCATGGCTCTTCCCCCTCATAGTTCACACCAACCCAAGTAATACTGGAGCCAGGGGTGAGGAGTGGGATGGGGGGTATACCTTAAGAGCATCCTAACAACATTATCCAAATGAATCATAACGTATACCATTTATCTTTCAAAGTAACCTTATGCTTGCCTGGGAGATTTCAAATTTCACCTCAGAAGAAATTTTGTCGATTTTCATTAGAGTTAGCAGCACTGGTGATAAATGAATAACACAAAGTGATATTCCCCAGGTGAGAAAAGCACACAACAAGCAAAAGAAAACGAAAAGAATATCAAGACAAACACCAGAGTATTCATTGAAGAATGTATTGTTTATAATCTGCTTTTGTATACCATTTACCCTTCGGAGCCACAATAATCTCATGCTAGCCAGTGCAAAGCTTTTCAAGAGCCATGTTTTCATCGTCGTCAACACTCGCTAGGGTACTCCTAACTAAAGCTTCAGGAAAGCCCATCTCCATGAGTTTTTGTACCTGTTAAAATAAATTTCGTAATTGGAACATTTGTGACCAAAAATGTTTTGCATATTACAAAATGTAGTCACTAGATCTCATCATCTTGAAAAAGTAGACAAATTTTTTCAACCATCATTTTCTTTCCAGATTCTTATTTTGTTGAAGTGCCTTGCATTCAGGAACACAATTGGGGATAAGAAAAGGAAGTGAGGGACACGAGGAAACATGTAATGCAAACAAAAAAAAAAAAGAGAGTCAAAATTCCTCCAACCTTCTCCTCAACACCAAGAGACGAGGTCCTGGCAAATGCTTCGGTCCAATAACGAGCTGTGCCCGTAAATGTTGGGTAGTCTCTAAGATACTGGAATGTGCAAAAAAAAAAAATTACTAATCAGCAACTGAGAAGGGAGAGTGAAAAAAGCACATAAACCACGGAGCAAGCTGAGAAATTTGATAAATTCTTGCTGGGAGCAAGAATATCTGAAAGTACAAAAGCAAGGACAAGGTCGACATGAGCAGGACCTGTTGTGCTACAACAGCATCTTGGGGGTCATCAGGTTCTGGAGCAGAGAGTAATGCTTGTACAGAAAGGAGAGCCGTCTTCAGAGTAAGTGCTGGGCTCCACTGGTCTTTCAGGATATCCAGGCATATTGCTCCACTTTGACTGCTTATGTTAGGATGCCTTTGGTATGAAATAAACATACAAGTGTAAACGATTTATGGGAGCCTACTTACAAAAACTTCTAGTACTATCGAGCAGTGATCTAAAAAGCATAAAACGTGTGTAGATGTGGACGCCAAGTTTCAAGCTTTATGAGTCTAGACGAGACCCCTAGGCATAAAAAAGTGTTTTCTTATTTTTAATATTATTTTAAATTTTTAATCATTCTGAAAATCATATAATGGTTAAAATAATATAGACCAAACATCCAAAATTATAAAATACTATATTACTTAATAATTCCTACAATTAGTCAATTATATACAATTTTCAAAGGAAAACTTGAAACTTAATCGAATAAAAGGCTTTTAAGAAAAGGGAAAAAAATAAAAATTAATAAAGCATACCTAGGGGCGCATTAAGCGGGCAACTGTGCCTCGAGCCTAGGCGTCTTTTTAGAACACTGCTATCGAGCAATGAGGAGAGAAAAAACATGTTCTAAGAAGTACATTTTCCTAAGCATTGGATCAGCAGAACAATTTATATTTCACATTTGCTTATTGAAGTTCAACTTGAAGTATGAAACTAAGACTTTAGCTTCTAATATATGTGCAACAGTGAAGATTACCCAGATTTTGTCTTCAAAAACTGAAGCCTTCTCACATATACTCATTTTAAAGACAAGATGTTTGACAACTTCTTGAACGTACTTTGAATGTGGTCCGATTTGGCCTCTGACCGTCCGTCCCGTCTCATCTGGATTTGACTATACTTGAATGTGGCCGATATTATTTGTTGTTATTCAACTACTAATCAAGTACGAGCCCTATCTTAAGCCATATCTGGATTTGTTGTTTAAAACACTAAGTGCCCTATCTTAAGGCGTTTTTTCCCCGCTTCACTTGTGATTGCCTTTACAGCAATTGATGTCAATATTCCAGGAGATTTCAATCCTTCTCTGATTCAAGGGGGCTGGTACATAGAACCGGGGAGAGGAGTCGCCATTGGGATTTATCCCTAAAGCTTATGGGCCTTTAGTGTTTTTATCAAATGGTTTTACTCATTTATCCGTGAATCTTTAACCAAAAGAACATCATGTGCAGACATAGACAAAGTCGACAAAGCTGTATCTTATGCACATTGAATTTTCTGTTGCTTTTTTTATTATTATATTATCTAAAAACAGACTCATAAGCATCATAAAATTTGCTGATCAGACAAGATAATGGTTCATCAAAGTTTAGTCTTTATTTCCATCCACAAACGACAAGAGCCTCTTAGCAATAAAAGACGGATCACATGCACAACATTAATCAATTCATCTTACTACTACGTAAATCATCCACAATAAAAGAAGAGAGTACAAAACGACATGCTTTTCATACCATACTTTAGTGGCAAAATGCATCTTGGGAGGCTCAAAAGGGTAACCGTCTGAAAAGAAAGCACAATTAAGGACTGAATAAATAGGAATAAATAAATCTTACATTCAATGTAACTGTCAAATATACTCAATAAAAGACTCAATGCCCCCTCTTTGTGAGAGGTTCTCTCATTAAATAGGATTAAAANTCCTCTATAAATAAGTGAGTCAGAGCAACCAATTACGAAAATTAGGAACGACGAGAGACCAAGAACAACAAATAATGCAAAAACAACAAAAAACTACTCCAAAGCCACTCCAAGAACACTCCAAAGATATTACAAGATACTACGAGAACCTTTCAAGAATATGACGAGAAACTACGAGAACTCACACTCCCCAAGAAGAATTTCCAAAAGAAATTCATGAAGTGTGTCGACACACACAGTGAGCTCTATCTGTCGGGAGAACTTGGTCGAACGTATAATTCGTGTTCCAACAAAAGCTCTAACGCCAAAACACCGGCCACAACTCCAGATGCTGTAGGTGGAACAAATCCCACAAAACAGCTCAACCAAAACGCGATGATCTGCACTTCCATGTTTCTCTATTCTCACGAATCACCATATAAAGAGGAAAAAAAAATCAAAGCCCAATCTAAAAAAAAACGAGATGAATAAGGTTAATTTGTTTAGGTGGAGATATGTATTGACTTATAATTTGTAGAACTGCAAAAAATGATCGTGTTTATTCAAAAAATAAAATTGGCCGGGGCAAGCATCACAAGGCAGCCCGCCGGAAACGAAATTCAAGGGTTAATTTGTTTAGGATGGGAACAGCTCTGATACCATGTCAAATATACTCAATAAAAGACTCGATGCCCTCTTTGTGAAATGTTCCTTCATTAAATATGACTAAAATAACAACTAAATATGGAAGCAATCAATTACAATATTAATTAATGGTACAAACAATCTATCTATATCTAATACAATTATAATAATATAATCATAATTTTCGACGATCTTCGGAATCTTATTCAAGCTCCTTGACAGTAACCAATAGATGGTATTAATCTCAAAAATGTAAACCAAATTGAACCATTTAAAATCCCTTTGAAAGATCAAAATGAAGAAAATAAAGGATTACAATTTATCAATTGCATATAGTACACAAAAAAAAATAGTAGCAATGCAGGCATCTCACTTTCAATGTGAGGAGGATAAAAATTATCACCTCTCAAACTAGAAGGCAGTATAAGCAACATTTTGGTTAATTGTTCTTCGCATTTTATCTTAACACTCTCTGTTCGAGGTATTAAGAAAAAAAATATATGGAAAAAGCATAAGAACAAAGATGAGTAAAAAACAAAGCATCTACTCCTAAAATCTCCCCAATTTTCGTAGCTACTTTTGCCTTCACGAATCTTGATACAAGTGGCCCTCAAATTCTCTTCCTCAAACACGTTCCTTATATCTATTGGGCCTAATGTTCCGTGATTATTTTTTTTTATAACCGTGGATGTCCGGGCCAACTTGCACACACCTCGACTAATTCCATGGGGCCTGAAATTTACGACCGGGTACTCACCTCAATGGCCCTGAGGGGACTCGAACTAGATGCCTGACCAATTGAGCCCAAATGTTCCGTGATTGAGTCTTCGCTAATCTCTTTTTTGAATATACCCATTTCAACATATACTCCACGGGAGAATTTTGCAAAGCCAACTTTTTACGCAATGTAATTGCAATGACATTCTAGTTTTATTTCCTTTTATTAGCCTTGATAAATTCAAAACAAACGTGTGAGGAGATAATGGTCGCTTTATACTAAATTTGTTCCACCCATGTCGTGTAATGATTGGAACAACGCAAGTGTTGACATTCTGAAATGATGCACCTTTTGTGATGATTTGAAAATGAAATGCTGGCAATAACAACATAACAGAGGGCAAAGAAATTATAATTCGAAGTACACGTGGCATCCTTGCTCTGCAGATGCCATGTAATCTTTGTCAGAAATTTGGCCATAAAAATATAATCTTCTTGCAGATGCGATGTAATCTTTCTTATACCAAAAAGACTGAATTGGGTCTAAAGGTCTTTGCAGTGTAGCCTCCATGAAAACCAATGAAATAAAAATGTTGAAGTACAAAGTCTACCAATAATTTAGATTAATAGCTCTAAAATCCCAGCTTACAACCAAACAGAAAATGAGAAGTAAACAAAACCAAGTGTATACCAAACAGAAAATGGTAAGTACAAATGTTGAAGTACAAAGTCTACCAATAATTTAGATTAATAGCTCTAAAATTCCAGCTTACGGAACAGAAAATGAGAAATAAACAAAACCAAGTGTATGCACACTATACATGTTTGGTTCCCAGTATAACGAATAAAAAATTAACCTATTTTTCTATTACTATAGTCTAAGCAATCCAATCTACCTTGCCAAACATGTTGTATAACACCTAAATACTAAAAAAAAAGTCCTAGATCGAAGAGGAAAAAAGAATTTCTGCATTAAGTAGAACCCAAAAATTAAACTCTTGTCCCCCTGCATATAAACCTGGTAATCTACTGGTGCAGGTAGAACATAACAGATTGCATACACTATATATTAATATCATTTGTCCTTACACTTCAAAAACCCTAATAAAAACGGAACAGAACCCCCACAATGTATAATCTGCGAAGACAAAAATTGGCTTTAAAACCCATACCTACAAAAAGTAATTCTTTGAACAAGAGAATAGACGAAATAACATTGAAAGTACATCAATAGACATATTAGAATATAGACAGAAGACTTTACTATCATCGATGTCCTTGAAATTCAACTATTCAAGAACCCTAATGATAATTGAGACAGAACCCCCCC